TGAATTATCAGTATTCTCTTTCAGAGGSCTGTAGTAGGTATCWGCTGTCCTTAATGTTTTCCTGCCTRGGAGAGATTTTTCATTAGGTTTAAGTAGAACCAAGCCAGGACTTGCCTTGGAAAATCCTTTTTCTYCTCACAACCAGCATCTGTAGGTGCCACCAGGGTTTTGGGGCTCTGGACTTTCCCAAAGGGCTTTAGGATTGAAAACATCCCCATCACACTGCACTCCAGGTCTTCTCAGGAAACAATGTTAGACATCCTTGACTGTCAGAGCCTGCACAGTTTTGTGAGTAATGAGAAACCACTGGCACAAGTAATTTGTGACAAATGCTGGCTGCCAGGGAAGGAAGTTGGCCAGTGTGGCACAGATGCAGTTTTCTTCCCATCATTTGTAGCCCAAAGTTTTTGCTAAGRTTTAGCCTAAGATTGGCAACTTCTGTTGCCTTTTTTTCCCCTTTGGAGGCTTTACTGTGCTTCAGGGTCTCCACACCGTAAAACCAACAGTCTGGGCAAAGCAGCCTGTGCTGCTGAGCCCTCTGCCTCACGCTGTGTGAGCCCTAAACTTGCATTTAACAAAGCTACCAGTTCTAATGTGAAGACGGGACTTTTTCCCACTGTCTTTGCCATCCACAGACATATGGATGCCTGTATCATCCTTTTTTAGAAGGCGCTGTTCTTCAGGCTCTGTCAAGTTTTCACATCATCTCCACATCTTTTTCCTGGTTRTCTTCTGGAGCTGTTGATGCACATTCATCCGACACTGCTCAGCAGAAGCCTGGAACTCCACTCCTGAGTGTTTCAAATTGCCAAGAYCTTCCTGATTGCTTTTGCTTAGGGTGGAGGCTCGTGCTTATGTTTTGACCCCTTGTTTGACTGCTCACACAAAAACCTTCTATGGCTGTCTTTTGGGAACGGGAGTGGCTGCAGTCACCAATCCCCATGGGGTTGAAGACAGATCCTGATAGCATTATTGAAGCTGGGACAACCTAGTCTCCCCATACTGGGTCACTGGAAAGTCACCAAGAGGGTTATAAAGGGGCAAAGAAGCCAAAATCTACTGGAAACCTCCTGCCTTGCACAACATCGCATTCCTCAGCTCCTGCAGCCAGCCTTGTCTTCTCTGGTCCTTTCCTGCTAAACAGCTTCTCCCAGGCCAAGGTTTTCTTACTGCATTGTCCAGTTACTGTACACACCTGGCAGCTGGTGTCCTAATTTCTGTTTTAGGTCCTGTGATGGGTTATTTCATGGTGCTTTCTTGAACCTTCCTTTTGCAGCATGCYTGTATCCTTGTTTGAACTACAACTGTGCTCTGGAGTCTCAAAATTCCACAAGGGTTTGTTTCTTTTCTTCCAGTTTAGTTCTGTTTCTGTTTTGGGAACTACTTACGACTTCTTACCTGTTGCTCACACTGAAAATGATCCTTGACCTGAACCCCAAGCCTATATTTAGGTTTAGTTTTTGCTATAATACTTTTTATTTGCAAAGAATGTGCACTTTTTCCCTGTACCTACAGCAATCAGAAGAAAACTGGCAGCTTTAAGCCCCTCCATCTCTGTATGGGCGGTTACGCAATTGGGCAACTTCAAATGACAAAGAACCTTTTTTGGATACATGGCAATTATGTCCATCTCACAAGATCCTGGTCTGCAAATGGCTGGAAGGTGCCAGGGAAAGCACCACAATTGCTTACCCATCTCCTTTGCTCTTCCAAAGGCTTCAGCACCTGCTGGGGACACAATACAGGTCTGGGATGTTATGACCCTCCTGAGTTCCTGCTCCCTCTCAGGGGTGCACAGACAATTGCTTTTCTCACCCTCAGGCTCTTTTCTCTCACACACACACATAGCTCAGCTGCAAACACTGCCCTGCTCCAGACCAGTAAATTCTGAAATTTTGCCTGTTCAGGTCTTGCTCAGGATACCACACAAAGTCAGTGTCTTGAACAGTGGCTTCTGCTGCACTGAACACCACGRGAGTCTGAGTTGCTCCTGGTGGCCAGCTTGGACAGACCACAGAGAGGTGCATTGCACCCCTCAGCAGGCTCTGACGTTTCTTACACACCCGGCTTGCTGTGTCCAGCACAAGGCCACCAKGTCCTCTAATCAATACAGCAGTTCTCCTGTAACTTGGCTTCTCTGGCAGAAAACAGTTGTGGATTTATGTGCCTGTATTCATACAGTACCATATTAAAAATTTCAGCTGGGCCATCTTATAGTGGAAGTAAGACTTTTTCCAGGGGCATTAGCTATGGGATCTCCAGAGTTATACCCACATTAATCATGAATTCCCCAAGAAACTGCCCTACCCCATTAAATACACTGGCATATTTTTTAATAAGGTCACCTGCCTTGTGTCAGCTGAGATGGAACAATTCCCACTTTCATTACCAGTTTGATCAATTTAATATCCAGCCTGCTCAGGGACTCAGCTCTAGTGATGCTGCTGTGTGTACRGAATGAAATTTGTGGTGTTTTACATCCTATTTGATGGGGTCTAAAAGCACACCATGCCTGTCAATGCCCCCTGCTTTACCTTTCCCTTGCAAAGGCAGGTTCTTACTCTCATCTCCTTCAGCCAGTCCTGCTGGTGCCACACACAGCATGGAAAGCTACACAGCCATGTGGGGAGCTAGCTGAAGCTTCCGCGTGTTCTCAACTTTTTCCTGGACCTGGCTGCATCCAAGGGAACACCAGGAGTGTGGACAGCTTGCTGTTGGCTGCCTGGTGTTAAGTATCACATATTCCACCCTGGTTTCAGTTGCATAGACAYCCAGCGCTGTTCATCAACTCTTTGTGGCAAATCTGGTGCAGGCCACTGTACTGTCCCCAGGCAGTTTGTCCCTGGTGCTCACCAACCAGCACCTTCTGATGGGTGGTGACAAACTCTGCTGTGGCAGCAGCACAGGATCTGCCTCATGATTTGGGGCCAGCAATTGCATTGGGACTTGCAGAATAACCTCTGTGCTGTCCCTTTTACATGTCTTTTGCAAAAAGCAAACAGTCMTTTTGACTCCTCTTACACAACCACTTACCACAGGATTATGTAATCAAAGAATGRTTTGGAAAACACCTCCAATACCTTTGAGTCCAACCTTTGACCAAACACCACCACACCAACCATAGTGTTAAGTGCCACATCCAGTCATTTCTTGAATGCGTTAGGGATGGTGACTCCACCACTTCCCTGGACAGCCCATTCCAATGCTTTACCACCTTTTCAGGGGAAAAATTCTTCCTGATGTTCAATCTGAACCTCCCCTACGGTGTCAGCTTGAAGCCATTTCTTCTTGTCCTGTCMCTTGTTCACTGGGAGAAGAGGTCAAGCCTCACCTGAGTACACCCTCCTCTCTAAAGAGCAATAGGGTCACCCCTGAGTCTCCTTTTGTCCAGGCTAAACACCCCCAGCTCCCTCAGCTGCTCCTCATGTCACTCACTCTCTAATCTCTGTTGCCCTTCTCCAGACACTCCAGTATCTCACTGTCTTCCTTGTAGTTAGGGGCCCAAATTTGGACATAAGAATCGAGGTGTGGCCTCACCAGTGCCAAGTACAGGGGGACAATCACTGCCCTGGTCCTGCTGGCCACACTGTTGCTGACACAGGCCGGGATGCCACTGGCTTTCCTGGCCACCTGGGCACACTGCTGGCTCATGCTCAGCCACTGTACTGAACCTGTACTCCCAGGTCCTTTTCCACTGAGGAGCTTTCCAGCCACTGTTCCCCATCCTGTAGAGCTGCATTTGTTGTGTCCAAAGTGCAAGACCTGGCACCTGGTCATGTTGAACCTTTTTCCATCGGCCTTGACCCCTCAATCCAGTCTGTCCAGATCTTCTGCAAAGCCTTCCTTCCTTTCAGCAGATTATMACTCCTGCTGAATTTAGTGTCATCCATGAATTTACRAGGGTACACTCAAYCCYCTCACCCAGCTAATGGATAAAGATRTTAAACAGGACTGTCCCCAATAYTGRGCTGTGGGAAACCCTGCTAGTGACCTKCCMTCARCTGGATGTGGMACCAKTCACCACCACATCTGGTGACCATCCAGGCAGTTTYTAACCCAGCAAAGAGTGCCCGAAGCAAGCCATGGGCTGCCAGCTTGTCAGGATTGTGCCATAGAACAAGTCCAGGTAGACAACACCACAACCTCTCCCTCATCCACCAGGCAGGTCACCTGTTCATAAAAGGAGATCAGGTTGGTCAAKCAGGACCTGCCCTTCATAAACCCATGCTGGCTAGGGCTAATTCCCTGACTGTCCTCTATGTGCCATGTGATTGCACTCAAGATGATCTGCTYCATAAACTTTCCCAGCAYCAARGACAGGCTGACAGGCCTCTATTTCCTCAGATCCTGCTTCCAACCCTTTTCATGGATAGGAATTGCATTTACTAACTTTCAGTCATCTTGGATTTCCCCAGTTCAGCAGGACTGATGATAAATTATATAATTTAAACACAAGAAATTGGTTTTCAGGTTTTTTCATCCAAGTAATAGTGAAAAACGGCTATCAATGGCTCCTTTGTGTTGGGCTTTTGTTCTTTGTTAACCTGCTGATTCAGAATTATTTCTCTCTGAACAACAAGAAATAGCACATGCTTAAGCCCTGAAGAGTGGGTGGGTGATAGATATGTTCCAAAGCTCAGACTTAGATTGCTGCAAATATTGCAGATTTTCTTGGGAAAAAAATGACACCATATTTTTGCAGATAATTTTATCAATACTCTTCAGCTCTTGTTACTTAATACTTGAAGTTATAGGAAGCAACCTGGCTAGTAACATCTCAGGAAAAAAAAAAAAATCGAGCTAGATGAGTGCATTAGAGTGACCAAGCCGCATCCCCGCCGAGTAGAGCGGGTAAACCGCAGAAGGTCCCCGCTCTCCTCTTCAAGCTGTCATTTGTCACCTGTGCCACTGGATGGCAATGCTGGTTAAAGTATCGCAGCCGSGATCGGAAGAGGAGGAGGATGAAGAGAACGGAGAACGGCTCGCAGCGCCGGCAGACGGACACGGAACGGACACGGAACGGACAGCACAAGGCAGGAGCGGGAGCTGCTGCGGCCAGCCCGTGGGAAAAGCGTCCCGCCGGGACATCGCACCCTTTACAACCTGAAATGAGATGCCAGAACCACGGGCGGGCGATTTCTGAGGATCCCCGCACTTGGAGGGCCCGAATCACGGAAAACTTGTATTTCGGAGTCGAGGTTTTAAGCGTCGGACGGGGTTGTCTGCAGGAGTGACTGAGAGTCACGCGTTGGCGCGACTTGCTAGAAATTGCCCAACTTTTATACTTAAAAACTGTACTTACACTTTGTAAAAAAATGACTCGGTAAGCAAGGCATGGCTGGGCTCAATGACTATTCAGTGAACTCATTTGAATGTGCATAGACAGGGCTTGCTTGAGCTGCTGCATCAAAGAGAAATGCTGAAATGAGTCATTTGTGAATCACRGCTTATTTTCTGTTGTTAGCTCATCTGGAATCCCATGGTGATCAAACAGCCTTTTACAATGTGTTAATACATCGCCACTCCATGCATTTAGCAACAGCTCGGTTCCAATAAATTGTAGGTAGTCACCCWTTATAAAGACGTAGTTTTTTTCTGCCGCGTGTAAACCGGCTGGGACAAGCTTGGAAATGAAAACATTAGAAAAATCTCATGCTGTTCCAAACACTCTTGTCCACGCTGCTTTCATTCCAATATCACACGTGCTTTCTGACTCCTTGCTTGCAGGGCACAGTCCAGCCAGAAGAGATTGCCTGCAAGGGTTAGTGCTCCTGTCCTCCGAAAAGCTGCAAGCAGCCTCTCCAGCAGCAGCCAAGCCACTTTCTGGGCACAGGAATGTAAGGGAGTCAGGAAGAAAAGCCCTATCCTTGGCAGCGTTTAAGGTAAGGCCCTCTTTTCCAAATTAGTTACTGTTTTGATCCTATACCTTCAGCTGACTGGAGAGTTTGGACCAGACTATAAGTGTTTTCAGGCATTGATCTGCTTAAATTTGGAGGGAGTGGTAAGCCTTTTTTTTTTTTTTTTTTTTTTTTTTTTTTTTTTTTTTTTTTTTTTTTTTTTAACCTGTAATAAACGAAATCAGTCCAGCAGGTCTACAAAAAGTTGACAGGAGGCTGAGGAAGAGGGTGTGACTCCCTCAAGGCTGTGATTGTCATTGAACTCTCTGTGGTGTGAAACCACAGCCTGAGGTGCTAAGCTTCTACCAGGAGCAACTGAAGATGAGGAACCAATTCCCTTCTGCCAGCTCTTTTATTGGAGTGAGTGGCTGGAGATGGAAACATCTTCAACCAGTACAGCAAGCTTCACCACAACTCRTCTGTCAGAGCCCTAAACCCTTTTGGCTTGTGAGTTTTATAGACATGAAGGCCCAAATACTCTCTGCCATCCTACTTAGGTTTTTTCTGTCATTTGTAATTGTGGCTCAAAAGTCCTGAAAAATTACATTCCTATGGGGACTGATCCAGCCCCCAGTAATAATGTTGCTCTTAACCTGTCACATGAACCCCTTTCAATCTCCAACACAAGCTCAGTCATGCTGTAATACAGTAGAGRATACCATTCACTATGGGGCTGATTTAGTTTAAAATGTAGCCAGCCTGTTTATGGGACAATTTTTTTGTTCTTGCTCTAAATTCTCAAGCACAATCAACAGCCTGTAAACCTGGTCAAACCAACACACGACCCATTAGTGCACGCAGTTGGGGCTTACAGCCCTTAGGAGCAGCATTTGTTCTGTGCTCTCTCAAAAGTGGGGTATATCCCCTATTTTGTTAATGGGCCTTGTTTTAGGGAAAAAACTTATAAACTTTTCCTGTACTGGAAATCAATTTCATACAATCCCAGCATGACTTTGACCTCACACTCACTCAGTTGTTTTTGTGACCAATGCCAGCCTTCCAGATGAAGAATCACCACTTTTTTCTCCATGAGGGAAGAGAAGAAAATTTAGGTAAGCAAAAGAATATCACCCCACTGAGATAAAGACCATCACCCACTAGTTGTGTTGCCAGAAGCAGTATTCCCAGGAACACGGGGGAAAGTTTTTACTGTCAGGAAGGTTCCACATAAGCACTAGACTGTTAACAAAGCTAGGATTCCTTAATSGGTCTAAAAGAAGATTAAGTAGCAGCTTGTTCTTAGGTTTTGAAACGCAGCCCACAGCAGGGAAGATCAGACAGGGGTTAAGACACACGAATATCCAGCAGGGGAGCAGGCATTGAGGTAAAGTCCTGATTCAGGATGAGTCCTCTGAATTAAGCAACTCCTTAATTTTTTCTTCAGGGTCATTTTTAGACTGGCTACCTGAATTCAGCAGTGTGCCTTACCAAAAGCTTTGGTGAGGCAACTTGATACCACATAAAAGAAGGGTAGAAACAAAAAAAGAAATGAGGGGAGAAGCAGGTTGGAGAAGTCTTTTGGGATGGCTTCCCTTGGTGTGGGGAGCTGTTGCCTTAGAGGCCAGATTCACCTCTTGACAAGGCTAGCRTGGAAGAGTTGGTGAAAAGAGTAATGAGCACTCCAGGAGGGAAGCAAAGGTAGGGTAACCACCCACCCCTAAATACAGGCAGGGCAGGCCTCCATCTACATGGCCTGCAGCTGGGGCCATCTGTCCACGGGCRGGCACGTGTGTCAGGAAAGGAGGGCCTGTCCCAGGTTAGTGAGGCTGAGTGTGAAGCTGAGGTGATGCTGACTCTGGGGCAAGTGACAGCTTGCCTGCGTTTGCACGCTGTATTTTTTCCAGTGACACTTGGTAGAGTGCTAGTGTSTGTTTTCTAAATAGCCCCAAATAAACACCACACCCCTCAGATATGCACATCTCTTACGTGTTTTGAAACAAGGACCAACACCTGGAAGGCAGGAATTCCTTCCTCTGTGTCCAGCTGTTTTGCCACATCCCTGTACCCTTAGGCAACTCACTTCATTCCTCTTATTCACAGTTCACAGTTATTTTGAAGATAAGGAATAAACAGTGGCAACTACATCACAGAAAAAAATAAGAGATTTATAGTTCATCTTAGGATTTTGTTAAATTTTTGTGTTGAATTTCTTCTCTTTCTGCCTTCTCCTGTGTAAGAAAAATTGATTGTATTGCAACCCTGATGCAGACATATAAACAAGTATTTTGCATGTATTGTCTTCTTAATTTGTAAATCTGGCAATTTGAGAGCCTAAGATACTTCAAATGCTTTTTTTTTTTTTTTTTTTTTTTTTTTTTTTTTTTTTTTTTTTTTTTTTTTTTTAAAAAACCTCTTTTCTTTAAGGCTTGTTCCAGTCGGGACCTCACACATACTGGGAGATACAAGAATGTAGAAAAGCTAATGATAAATACCATGACTCCAGGAAGTGGTGGTGCTCTAAGGACATTAGTTACTGAATAAAGTTAACAAAGAAGGTAATTCCAGCGTCTAAAGGAGGAGAGGCAAGGAGTAGAAATGGCACAGCTCAAGTTAGTCAGACTGCTGGGTAATGTTGTCCTGGCAGAGCTTTTCTGCTTTGGAGCATAGAGTTTCTGGTGCTGGGTTAAAGGGAGCGAAGCCTGGAGTTGTTCTTCAACTGAATCTCCCCAAAAGGAAACACACAGGGGCGCCAAAGTCTTAGGAAAAGAAACCCAATCCTAAGCCTTTTTCCTTCATCGCTTCTCTCTGGGCAGGCGGTGCAATCGGAGGGCTTCGCTTCCTCTCCCGAGAGAGCAGCGTTAAAGGAGCAGCTCATCAGCTTAAGACTGATTTCACTCGCAAACCCACTGGGGCTGCGCAATCGCTCACGCCTGCCCGGTGTAAACAGGCTGGGTGGCTGCTGATGGCTCTGTGCCTCTCCAAGGGGAGTCCTGAGGAGAGACGGGATGCGCCCAGGGGTGTGGGGGGCTCTGATACCTGCGGGAGGCTGGCGCATCGCTTTSTCCTTCTTGCACGGCGCTTGCAAGCACGGCCTCAAATTCGTTCTGGACGAATTTCCCAGATGAATTGGGAAAAGTGYCATTGTATCAGTGGAAAATAAAAAGTTTGTCCAGTGTCCAACCGACTGTTTGCGCTCCTGCMTGTGAGGATGACGGTCTAAACCTCTGTCTGGTCAGTTTGTCCCCGTGAGCTGAACCTGGCGTGGYGGTGGCTGCAGCTGCTGGAACGGACACCAAGGTGGAAATCCCCAGGACAGCTGTGAAGTGGGTGCTCGTCAGCCATAACCTCCAACCGCACCCTCGTTTCTCCTTGACAAAGGGAGGAGGCTGGCGCAAGAGCGATTTCATCAGCYCCCGACTGCAATTAGATTATACATATAGCGGGTTGGTATTCCTTTGGTGGCTATATGGAACCATTATACCAGATTATCCAGTGCTCAGATTGCTCTTTCACTCACCTCCACAAGTTTTACTCCATAGCTGTCAGGGAGGCAGGCAGGACATTTTGGTATAAAACRCCACAAAAACACAACCGAACCGGGCAAACTATATGCATAGTATGAGCTGCCATGGAAAAAAAAAATCCGTGTTGTTCACTGTTTTGTTTTTTCTTGCTCTGCACTGAGTGATATATCTTAGTGACAAGTTGCTGTAGCCACACAGCATTGCTTTTAATGCCATAAAGTGTCGTGGGGTGTAGACATGTCCTAGGACAATGGTTAGACCTAATGTTAAAGGCTAAATGCATTGCAGCTGCATACAAGCTGGGCTACATTAAAGACTAGAGCTTTGGAAGTTTCTTGTTAAAAAAAAAATCACTTAAGAGACTTTTCTGTGCCGATTAATTTTGGTTTGGACGTCAGAGCCTCCAACAGTCATTTTCCAGTAACAAGTCTTATTGTAATTATTTGACACTTTAAAATATATGCCTTGCAGACAGAAGTTCCAGTGCTAGCATAGAAATATCAAAGCAGATTTTATTAAAACTCTGCTGTGGGTAATACCAGGCTTTGTTTTCTAAACATGTCTTATTAGAGTGTTTTACTCAATGGACTAAAGAATGAAATTCCACCTCCATTATATCATGTCATGCCAGGGTGGGTGCAACACCAAAGAACAAGATGAGAGTTTCAAATGTGAGTGMCCAAGTTTAGCTACCAAAGAGCACAGTGAGTCCATCTGACTGGAAATAGCCTATTTTGTGGAGATTCTGCCTGCTCCTGCTCTTAATACCACTTTTCTGGCYATGGGACATGTCACCAGCATCAGGGGAGGAGGATACTGTTCTGATGGTTAGTTCAGTCCCAGTTCTTGCTTTCTTCCCTTCCCTTGATCTCAAGCAAACCAGCTGCAAGACCTTTGGGAAATTCCTTATCTTCCCCTTGCATCAGTTTACTTATCTGTAAAGCAGATAAACTAATAACACTGCACTTCTTGAGGGTTTGTTGAAGCTTATTATACAGCAGTGAGTGCTTTAAGAGGGAAGTTGTTACAAAAACGACAGTGTTAATATGACACGGAGGTAACATGAAGGAGCCCCATTCTGCTCCGTGCAAGTCAGTGGAGCTGTTATTTGCTTTAGCAGAAGCAGGGATTTGGCCTATGCTTAAATGACTTGCACTTGTTTTTCTTCTTGAATGCTAATATAGAGTTAAGAGATAGCATTACAAGGAAAGCTCATTCCTGCCTATGTGTAAATATTTAGCAGCTGAATAGGCATTATTTAGCAGGGCACAGTTTCTGCTTCTCCACAGTTTTCAAGGATGTCATTCTAAGCTGCTACAGATCAGAAGATACACTGACATTACCAGATCAAAATCCTTCCCATATAAGTGTACACATACAGAATTTATTTTACTGGGCAATTAAATGTGTAAGATAAATATCCCTGGGGGAGGAGGGTTGTTTGAGGTTTTATGGCATATCTTATTATGGGCTCAGTTTCGAAATCTTAATCCAAGCAAAACTCCCCGTGTGGAGACTTAATGCTGGAGTGTAACTTTGTRTTTTGTACTCAGGATATGTGCAGTTGCATCAGTGGATTTTAGGGCAAGGGGGGAGTGAACTCAGTGAAGCTTTGCCTAGAGAAAAGCAGCCCTTCCTAGAACATTTACAATTAACAATAATCCTTTGATCAAATAGAACATGTTGAAGGACCCTAGGCAGCATACCCTTTTCTGGATTGCATCTGACAATGTTATTGATAAAAAAATTGAAAATAAATGTAAAAAAAAAAAAACAACTTATTTGTAATTATTTTGGGGTGGCATGATCAGTAAAACTGCAACCTACTGCAGCTATGAGGCTGTTGGCAAAATAGTTGCCTGTGTTTCAAATGCAAAAGCTTTTTAAAGGACACATGAGCAGTCAGAATTGCCCAGAAAATACTCCAATTTTATATCCAAGCTGCAAACGCTATTTTTTTCTTAAAACTGGGTGGGTTTTGTCTGTTTAGAAAATGAAATATACAACAGAAAAAGAGGATACAGGTTGGAGTGAACAAATAATCAGATCTTGATGTGCATAAAGTGTATAGATTAATTTTTCTAAAGAAAAAAGTGCTTGGTAACTCTAGCATGATTTTGTTGTGCTTTGAAAGGGGAAAAAAATCCTCATCACATTTGTACTTGAGACCATGCAACTACTCCCTGAGGAATCAAGAAAAAAAAAATAATAATAAAAAAAAAAATCCCAGAGTTATACCCCACCAATGCTTATTCATAAGCATAATCTTTTTAAGATCTCGTTTTCTGGAGATGCCAATGAGAGTAGGTAGCCCTTAAGGGCCTTGAGAAAGGTAACTGATGAGGCAGAATGTACCTGTTACCTTTCCCTRGTGAGATCTACAGCATGGGAATTTGTACCATGTGGTTGCTCATGCAAACAGTGGCCAGTCGTCGGTAGCTGGATTGCATTGGCACCGCGGTGTGTGCTCAGTTTTAACTCCCGATTACTTGCCGGTTTTGCTTGTTTAGTTAGTTTAGTGTAGTTAGTTTAGCAAATAAATACTAAAGGAGTCGGTAAGGCCCACGTGCTCCTTGGAAAAAATCTTCGCTTTTTCTCCCCCCTCCAGAAAAAAGTTTTCATTTCGCTTCCAAAAATTGCACTCAGACAGCTTTCCCACACCGCCATTTGGCACTGAAAAAAGTTGCCATTTATATACATTTATATGCTGATTTCCAAACTGATCAGCCTCCTAACAACTCTCTGGGGACTCAAACACCCGGTCGGGGACAAAAAGGGTCTCGGAAGGGGGTGTGGGGTGTGAGGGGGAATGGCAGAGACGCGCGGAAAGCTACCACAGTGTCGTAACTCAGGGACACAGAATCCTCATCCTTTTGCTCCTGCTCCTCCGCAGAGGCTGCGCAGGGGCGCCGGCTCCGCGTCTCGCCTAAGCGGGAMGTCCCGCATCTCCCTTCAAAGAGTATCCCGGAGCAAAGTAGCGACGTGGGGCTCCGGAGGAGGAAGGACAGGGAAAGGGCGCTTAATTTGTGAGGTTCCGGGAGCAGCTGAAGCGACCTGTTGCACTCGGTGAGCTTCTCTCCTGAGGAAAACGGGCTTGAAAACAGCAAAACTCAGCCGAGAGACAGACGAGAGTGGACAAGGCAGCCGCAGGTGGATTTCTTCTTCTCTTTTCTCTCCTTTTCAACACCCCAAGTTGCTCACCGGAAAGGCTCCCCCCGGATCCACTGGCCGCAGGGTTGAGACTGCTCCKCACGGGGTCCCGTCTCACACACAGCAGGGCATAAAACTAAGACACAAAACCCCAAATCAGCCGAGGAAAATTCTCTCCGCTAATACCCGAGACACAGCACYTCCCCTTCTCCGGCATCGGCCTCCCAAAAGTAATTGAATCATGTTGGACCGCAAAGTGCGAGCGAGAAAGGGCGGGGAGTGTCTGTATTCTTCCCCCCCTACCAGCCTTTTTTTGTCTTTGTTTGTAGGGTTTGCGGTGTCTAGGGTGTTTTTATGCCCTGCCGGTTTTTGCCTCTTTCCCTCTGCTCCCCCGTCTGCTGTAAGGTGAGCCCGAGGAGACAGCCCGCGCCCMGAGTGTAGGCAACCCTCATCCCAGGGACAGAGGCCGTCCCGCTTCCCCCCAGCCCTGTAAAGCCGAGGTAGACCCACACCGACCTGAACCTCTCCATTCTCCCTCCGAAAATACTGACGACAGGATTTCAGCCTGGGCAGAGGACGGGGCGGGGGATTCTGCTGGCCGCAGCCACGCGTGCACCGTGGAGCATCCGTCCCGCACGGCGCTGAGCGGCGCCTCTGACAGCCCTGGGGCCGTCTGAGCTGCAAATGTCCCCACGGGCGCAGACCGGCCGCTGCCAAAAATTACTTTAGAGGAAAAAAAAAAAAAAAATGCTATTTATGTGTCAGCGAGCCGGCGGAAATCAGCCACGTTGAGCTTCCCCCCAAC